GGAAATAAAATTCGTACCCGCGCTTCCTCCCTCTCTTCTCACACAAACTAATCCCCCGTCCTCCTCCTCTTTACAGGTACCTGCGAATGCGTAAAATTCATCCTCTTCTCAACGCCTGTCATCCTTCTTCCATACACCAGTCTTCTCCTGAACCTCTTCCTTCCTCTTCCCTAAAACTTATTCCTCTCCTTTTTCTTCTTCTTCCCTTTCATCTTTTTCTTTCATCATCTCTTCTTCATCCGTCCTCATTCCACTTCCTCCTCCTCTCCCTTCGCCTCTAACCTCTCCTCCTCAATTGTCCCTCTCCTTCCTCCCTCCTACTCCCTACCCTCATCAACAGAAACAGCCTTCTGCCTTCTTACCTCCCTTCTACAGGGTATCCCGACACTCCCCCTCAAAACGGAAGAGACCGCTCCACGCAAGAATCTTCCTCAACCTGTGCGACTCCATGCTAATCATGCAACGCTGGTTCCTTCCGTATGTGTATGACTCAGAGTGGTGTGTGTGGCAATAGTGGTGTGGTAAATGAGTGTGTTTGGGATGGTGGTGTGTAGTATGTGTACCTGAGTGTGTGTAATAGCTGTAGCTCGTGTGTGAATACGTGTGAATGATGTGCGTGAATGTGGTGTGTGTGTGTGTGCGCGCGTGCGAAATTAGCCAGCACAAAACGTTTATACTTTGTTCGCAACCCGCCCCGCGGTGCCAGCGAATCAGCAGCAACATTTGTTGTTCTTCATTATCACGAACATCATAACACCTACCCCGTAATCTCCATATCTCCGCCCCAAGATAAAATCCATAATCCTTTCGGACACACACCACCAACAACAAACCGTTCTTGAAATACGTTTCAATGTCGAGAGCCGGGCAGGCTGACAAGCACTGTGCATGGTACACGGACACGTCAAGTATCTTACACATGCTTCACTACTAACGAGCCTAAGCAACAATCCACCGACCCACCGACATTGTGTGGTAATGTGGGTGTGGTATGTGTATTGTGTGTGTGTGTGTGTTGTTTCTGTAAAAACACAATGTGGTGTGGTATGTGTCCCAGACCTAGTTGAGATGTTCGTGTATGATCAGCATGGGTGTGGTGTGTTGTTGTGTGTGTGTTGAAGTGTATCCATCAGATTTTTGTGATGTGTGTGTGGTGGTGTGTGTGTGTGTGAGAATGTTGTGTGTGTGTGTGTGTATGTGTGTGTGGTGTGAGTGTGTATGTGTGTTTGTGTGGCTGTGTACAGTGTGTCGGGTTGTGGGTACAGTGTGTGTGTGGTGTGTGTGTTGTGTTGTGTGCTGTGGTGCCTTGTGTGTGTGTCAGTTGGTGTTGTGTACAGTTGTGTGTGTGGTGGGTGTGTTGTGTGTGTGTGTGTGTTGGTGCTGTGTGTGCGCGCGGTGCGAATAGCAAAGCATAGCAGCAAATGTGTCCTTATTCGCACCGCGGTTGCGAATAGTATTTGCGGATTGATTCACCGCACACTGCGCAAAATTTATGTCACATTTCCCCGAGATCCAAAAGAATAGCAAGGCCAGCCGAGGTGGCCGGTTGTCGTTCCTCCGGAAAAAAGTCCCATAGTATCTCGTAGATAGCTAATCAATCTCGCTGTGCAAATAGTAAAAAATCTTATCTTAATGCTTCACTTCGCTAGCAAAGCATCCCCGCCAAACGATTGATGTGTTAATGTGGGTGGATGTAAAATGTATGCTGTGTGTGTGCGTGTTTGTGTTGTGTAATGGTGGGTCCGTGTGTGGTGTTGTGTGTGTGTGTGGTGTTGTTGTGTGTGTGTGTGTGTTCGTGTGTGAGTGTGGGTGTGTGTGTGTGTGTTGGTGTATAGGTGTTTTGTGTGTGTCGTGTGTGTGTATGTGTCCGTGGTGTGTGTGGTGTGTGTGTGTGTATGTGTTGTGTGTATGTGTCCGTGTGTGTGGTGTGCTGTTGTGATGTTGTGGTGTTGTGTGTGTGTGTGTGTGTGTGGTGTGTTGGTGGGTGTGTATGTTGAGAAATGTGTGTGTGTTCGTGTACGTGTGTGTGTGGTGTTGGTGCTGTGTGTTTGTGTGTGCTCACCAGTGTGGTGTGTTCGTACAGTTTGTGGTGTGTGTGTGGTGTTGTGTGTGTGTGGTGTGTGTGATGTGTGTGCCGCGGTGCAATAGAGAGCATAGCCAAGCCAAATGTGTAACTTTCGCGCCGCGGTCGAATATCCCAATTTTGCGGATCTGATCAACCGCACACTGGCGCGACCTTTTTGTCACATTCCCCGAGTCAAAAGAATAGCAGACAGCGGAGGTGCCGGTTGCTTCGTTCTTCCCGGAAAACAAAAGTATATATCTCCGTAAATAGAGATATCTCGTTGTGCATTCGTAAAATCTATCTACATGCTTCAAACTTCGCTAGCAGCATCTCCGCCAGGATTGGGTATGTGGGTGTTGGTGTAAAGTAGGTGTGGTGTGATGTGATGCATGTGGTGTGTGGTGTGTGTGTGTGTGTGCGTGTGTGTGTGAGGTGTTGTGTGTGTGTTAGAATGTGGTGTGTGTGCTGTGGTGTGTGTGTGCCGCGGTGCGAATAAGCAAGAAACGTGGGTTTCTTGTTTGCAACGCCCCGGTGCGAATAGCAGCAAATGTTGTCCTTATTCCGACTGTATTCCGCACTTCGCACTTATTCGCACTTATTCAGCCCTATCTGAGATATATTCTTCGGTCGATTCTTTACTCAGTGGGCCCGGGCAGCATCTCTATTTTTTCCCTTAGGTCGCCACGCCATCGCGCACTTCTTCATTCGGCTTCCTCAAAGACCCCACTATACATTCTATCCTAACCCTCCCCCTCCACCCTCACCCTAACCCTAAACACGCTACATAAACCCTGACACTAAACGTACATAATCCAACCAATATATATAAAGAACCATTTAATTAAAAACCACTATCATAATGGTGGGTCCGGAACTCAAGTCGAGGAAAAAAATTTCGCGAGCCGGGCAGGCTGACAGCTCGTGTGGCATGGGTAAAATTCATCTACATGCTTCACTTCGCTAGCAGCAAATCCCGCCAGATTGTTGTGTATGTGGTTTGTGTGTAATGTAGCGTGTGTGTGTGTGTGCATGTAAGGTGTGTGGTGTGTTGTGTGCTGTGTGTGTGTGTGTGTGCCCGCGGGTGCGAATAGCAAGCAAACGTGTCCCCTTGTTTCGCACCGCCGCGGTGGCGAATAGCAAGCAAATGTGTCATTAATTTCGCACTTATCGGCACTTAGACCTATTCGCAGCTTATTCGTCTTTAATTCGCAAAGAATAATATTCTCGGCCGTTCCTTGCTTAAGGCCTGTCTCCACACACGCGGCGCGGCACGGAACGCCACGGAAACGGCGCCGTTCACCCCTACCGGCAAAGTTCAAATCTATTATATCTTAAGGCGCAGTCTCCACTGACACAGCACGGCGCCAGCCTGGTTTCACGGCGACGGCGAAAGTCAAATGAGTTTGACTTTCGCCGGATGCCGTGTACGGAGAAAGACAGTTTAACCAATCAACGCGATTGTTTTTTTATCACGTGTTCTGCTCACGCAATCATCAACCAATGGACAACAAGCACATGCATAATTTCTGATCACTGAACCAGAGTGAACACAATGCGCTCGGATACAATGCGCTAAATCACAATGCATTTTTTTTCAGCACAACGGCGCTGCGTTTTGCCTGCGTTTTGCCGTGCTGTGCCGCGTGTGTGGAGACATATAGCTTTACTCATAATCTCAATAGTCTAAGTCATACTCAGGGCTCGACTTTAACGGTGGCCCGGGTGCCAATGGCCACCTGAAACCGCGTCGGGCCACCTGAAACTGTCGGGTTGGTGGCCCGGCTGGCCACCAATAAAAATAAGGCTGTGGCTACGCATCCGGACATCCATCTCACACAGAGATCTTGCGACACGTACACGCATGATTGCGCAAGGGGACGCTCTGCTGATTGCCGAGTGTGTGTGTACGCGTATGCGTGTGCGCGTGTGCGTGTGTACCGTTGTACGTGTGAGTGTGCCCGTGTGCGCGCGTGTGTGTGTACGTGTGGTTTACTGGAAGCAGATTCTGAGAATGTGAATCGCAACAAGAAACAATGCTTTATTTTGCCTCAATCCAGATTCTGAGAATGTGAATCGCAACAAGAAACAATGCTTTACTTGGCCTAAATCAAAACAGTAGTGCACGTGCAATCCATTCGCTACCCATCAGTTGTGTGGGTTCGTTGCGCAATTCATTTCTCCACAGGTTCAAGCCAAGTGCGTACATACCAGAGTGTATGTATAGAGAGGGGTGTAGGGATGATACACTGTAGAGACAGGGAGGGTGTAGGGGGGAGGGGTGTAGAGATGATACACTGTAGAGACAGGGAGGGGTGTAGGGGGAGGGGTGTATAGGGATGATACACTGTAGAGACAGAGAAGGTGTAGGGGGAGGGGTGTAGGGATGATACACTGTAGAGACAGGGAGGTGTGTAGGGATGATACACTGTAGAGACAGGGAGGGGTGTAGGGGAGAGGGGTGTAGGGATGATACACTGTAGAGACAGGGAGGTGTGTAGGGATGATACACTGTAGAGACAGGGAGGGTGTAGGGATGATACACTGTAGAGACAGG